GGCCCCGGGCGGAGGGCGGAGGACGGGTCGCGGCCGCTTTACGAGAAGCCCCCCGCGGACGCCCTGGCCCTGGGGGAGTGGGGCAGGGCCAGCCGACTGCAGCTCAGCCCGGCCGAGCAGAAGCAGCAGGAGGAGCTGCTGGAGCGGTACGCCATCAACATCTACCTCAGTGACCGCATCTCCCTGCACCGCCACATACAGGACAACAGGATGCCCGAGTGCCGGTCCAAGACCTTCGACTACGGGCGGCTGCCCACCACCTCGGTCATCGTGGCCTTCTACAACGAGGCCTGGTCCACGCTGCTGCGCACGGTGCACAGCGTCCTGGAGACCTCGCCGGCCGCGCTGCTGAAGGAGGTCATCCTGGTGGACGACCTGAGCGACCGCGCGCACCTCAAGGCGCAGCTGGAGGCCTACGTGAGCACCCTGGCGCGCGTGCGCCTCGTCCGCACCCAGAAGCGCGAGGGGCTGGTCCGCGCGCGGCTGCTGGGCGCCAGCTTCGCCACGGGGGACGTCCTCACCTTCCTGGACTGCCACTGCGAGTGTAACTCGGGCTGGCTGGAGCCGCTCTTGGAGAGGATCGGCCAGGACGAGACGGCCGTGGTGTGCCCGGTGATCGACACCATCGACTGGAACACCTTCGAGTTCTACATGCAGACCGGCGAGCCCATGATCGGCGGCTTCGACTGGCGCCTGACCTTCCAGTGGCAGTCGGTCCCCAAGCAGGAGCGGGAGCGGCGCAGGTCGAGAACCGAGCCCATCCGGTCGCCCACCATGGCCGGGGGCCTGTTCGCCGTCAGCAAGAAGTACTTCGAGTACCTGGGGACCTACGACACGGGCATGGAGGTGTGGGGCGGCGAGAACCTGGAGCTGTCCTTCCGGGTGTGGCAGTGCGGCGGGCGCCTGGAGATCCACCCCTGCTCGCACGTGGGCCACGTGTTCCCCAAGCGCGCCCCCTACGCGCGCCCCAACTTCCTGCAGAACACGGCGCGCGCCGCCGAGGTCTGGATGGACGGCTACAAGGAGCACTTCTACAACCGCAACCCGCCCGCCAGGAAGGAGGCCTACGGCGACATTTCCGAGAGGAAGTCGCTGCGGGAGCAGCTGCGGTGCAAGAGCTTCGACTGGTATCTGAAAAACGTGTTTCCGAGCCTGCACGTCCCGGAGGACAGGCCGGGCTGGCACGGCGCCATCCGCAGCCTGGGCATCTCCTCCGAGTGTCTAGATTACAACGCGCCCGAGAGCAACCCCACGGGCGCGAACCTGTCGCTGTTCGGCTGCCACGGCCAAGGCGGCAACCAGTTCTTCGAGTACACGTCCAACAGGGAGATCAGGTTCAACTCCGTGACGGAGCTGTGCGCCGAGGTGCCCGAGCGGAGGACCCACGTGGGGATGCAGAACTGTCCGAAAGACGGGCTCCCCGCGCCGGCCAGCATCGTTTGGTATTTTAAAGACGACGGGACGATTTTCCACCCGCACTCGGGACTCTGCCTCACCGCCTATCGGACCCCCGAGGGCCGGCCCGACGTGCAGATGAGAACTTGTGACGCCCCGGATAAGAGTCAGATCTGGAAGTTTGAGAACTGAAGGAGCACAGCAGCGCTTTGCCCGGGGCGGGTGGTGTGTTCAGGGAAGTCAGAGGCGCCTCAGCCACGATTGTGTTTGATCCGAAAGGGCCCCGGGGTGGTCCGCGGTGGCAGCGCCGAGGCCCGCGGGGCGGCGCCTGGCTCTTGGGGGGCTATTTCAGAGCTCTGTCGGGGCGGCCCCTCCCCTTGGAGAGGGCGACTGGGAATCAGGATACACAAAACATGGAAGTGTCAGACGATACTAAAGAATGTAACAGTTCAAGTAAAATAAGAGATGATGTATGTTGATGGGTAAGTTCACTGCACGTCCCGTTTTTAAATAACACGCATAAAAGTGCAGTTTGAGCTACAGCTGTTTTGACTGTACATAGAAGTTTAATTTCTTTAGCCAGCACATTAAGTTTTAGGTTTTGTTTATTTTTTTTATTCTAGTTTTTTTTTTTTGTTTTTTTTAATCAAATGGAAATCAGAGAAAGCTGATTTTAAGGAGAAAGGCCTGGTTTAGATATATGTGTCATTAGAAGAGGGCATTAGTTTGAATGTGAGGTTGGCGGTCTTTTTAACGTACAGACATCTCAGAAAAATATACCCACACCTGAATGAAATGGGGAGATCTTTACATTCCACACTTTGTAAACTTGAGCTGTTGGACTTCACTGATCTATTTTGATACCTCAGATAGCTCTGGTTTTGTAGCCTGTCCTGTCTGTGAACTTGTTTGTGTGTTAGGGCATTTTCCGATTGCACTTCCTTAAGTTATGAATGTACTAGGGAGGGACTCACTGAGAATACTGTACTTCCTTACCTTTGTTAATGCTTAATCACCTAAAGTAAATACAGTTGAGGCCTCTCTGAGCTCAAAACCCAACTGTGTTTACTGAAATGTGTGAAACCGAAAGTGGGCCCCTCTGTGCAGAGGCTGTGGAACTCGCCTGTGAGTTCTTGCTGATGAGGGCATTTCAGGACTTATCTTAAGAAGACTAGGGAAAAAAGCCTGTCTTGACAGTGGTGAATGCCGCCTTCCAGCACGTTTTTAGCTGCTACCACCGAACCTGGCACTTAGGCAGCTTCGGGCAGTGGGAGAAGGACTGAGCGAATGAATAGCTCAGCCCAGGAGTGTGACTCCGGTCAAGTCGTTTGACCAAATGACTCAGTTTGGGCCTCAAGTTTTCTCATCTGTAAAATGTGGGTGCTGGACTAGATCTTGAAGATCCCTTCCAGCTCTGCAGTGTTACGATGATGCATTATATCAGTCTCAGATTGAATCATTGTGCGGTCTTTACAACACTTTTTATCTCTTCATTTTAACACAGGTAATATTGTTGAGCAATTCAGTCCAGTTAGGAAGCTGGAAAAGAGAAATGACTGTAACACTTAAGTGAGCTGAGCTCACCTGGACCTGGTTTATTTTGCATTGAGTGGAAAGCTATTGTGGTCAGTGTTTGCATTCATTTCATTTTGACAATTGTTGAACCAGTTTTTGTTTTTATCTTTTAATCTTTCAAACTGTAAGTAATCTTTTGGGCTAAGGATGTAAATATTTCCCAAACTAAATAATTTGAGAAGTAAGCACACTATTTTTTACTGATTTTATTCCATTGTTATATCTAGAAATCACTGGCTAAATTTAGAATTAAATTTTAGTTAGTTCACTTTGGTCTACATTTTTGAAAAATGTATGCTTCGTAAAGATTTAGCTCTTTTCGGTGTCTACTTAATGACCTAGAGGGTAGCAACTTTGCAAAATCTGAAATTAAGAGAAAAATGTTGAGGCTAGCCATTTCAAAAAGTAAAATTGCTCAGTGTCTTGAATATTTTGTTTCTTTTTTTGCTTCTTAAAATGAAAATGTGTTATTAGCTTTCTGTAAGTTATCTGGCAACCTTAAAGATGAACAAAGAATTGCCCAGATTCCCTGTGCAGTGTGCATGGCCCGGGTGTAACTTAAGGAGGACTTAGAATAGTGCTCTGAATTTTACAGAAGGCTTGACTGACAACAGATATTCTCCTAAACCCACCCTCTTCCCTTGCTCAGTCTGTCTTTTTTAATGATTAAATTACCTTTTCTTTTAAACTTATTTTTGTTGTTCTTGGTAGCCCCTCCTCAAGTGGGAGAACTAAAATAGATATGTTCTGGAAGTACTTACTGGAATTATTTTTATTCCAGTATCTTGCTGCTCATGTCAAGAGGGAAAGGGAGCATTGAAAAGTGAAGGAGTACTGTACTTAATTCTCCACTTTTGGTCTGAATTTCAGGGTGTGACCTATTCATCTTTTTGTAAGAAATTTTAGGGTAGTGCTTTATTTATATGAATAATTTGGAACAGTTAGGCTGTTCATTCCTCACAATACTGTAGGTAACAGAAGAATGAGACTCACTTTTCATACATAGGCATTTCCAATTTAATTCCAAAACCACACCATAAAACTGCAAACAAAATATGTTTTGTTGCCCTACTTCTAATTCATTGGTACCAAAGCTCTCTTTTGTTGTGGACAATTAAGAGTTGACCTTTTAAGTTAACTTACATGCTTAATAACAGTTTTAGTAAAATATTTGCTAGACACAAAGTTCCAACTTTAACTGGCCAGTCACTGTGTCATTTGGTATCCAAGTCATTAAAAAAAAAAAAATGATAAGTTGGTCGTCCGCAGGATCTATAACTCAAAATAACTTGTTTGTAAAAGAAAATTTGTATTCATTAGATGTTGGCAAATCAAACTTTCCTAGGTGGAAGACAAGGTTATTTTTTAAGTTATGTAGTTGTAGTTGATTTAGGATCTCAATTTGAGTTGATAAAATACTTAGCTTTGACTTGTCTCTTTGAGTTGCTGTTTTAATAATATTTTTAAATGAGCACAAAGAATGTTGAGGTTCAGATTAATCTGTTTTGAACGATGAATTTTTTTCTGTGTGATGAGTGGTTTCCACCCTTTTTTCCTTTTGTTAATGGTATTTGCCATGTTGATTAAGGCATAAAATAAAATGTGTGCCTAATTATTTTTGCAAATGGATTCTGATTATTTTAGTCTGTGCGGTCACTGTTCCTGGGTGCCCATTTATTGATGGTACAAAAGTAAGTGAAGCTTGTAATCCTTTTACTTCATTGAGATTGCAGACAGTACAATATAAAGAAGTCAAGTTTTCTGTATTATTTTGCCAGGTGTCATAAACCAGCAAGTGTTCTGAAGTGGTGGTAGTGCTATTTATGGCTGGGAATAATCAGGGACCCACTGAGGGCACTATAAAAGAAGGCAAGTGAACACCTGGGCACATTTATGGCTGGGAATAATCAGGGACCCACTGAGGGCACTATAAAAGAAGGCAAGTGAACACCTGGGCACATTAGCACTCATTTCACAACCCTGGGCTGGAAAAAAAAAGTCTGTCCTATAGCCTCACACTTTCTCAGCCTTCCCTCTGCATCACCCTGTCCCGTCAGTACCATCTCTCTTCCTCTTCAGTGACTCCTAACGCCCTGCACTCCTGCCTCCCCGCAGCCTGGGAATTACTAGCCTAAGGACTCTGCTTTATATATTAGGTGTCTTATAGCCACACTGAAGATATGCATAGTTGAGCTAAATATATTTTCACTGATCTCTTGTTTTTTTATACTATTTAAAAATTGCTATAAATACATGTGTTATAATCTTGCTCTTTTACTAGGTGACTGCAACCCTGAGCAAATCATTGCATGTCTCTGTGTTTGTTTCTTGAATATGAAAAGCAAACTGGAAAATCCATAGAGACAGTACATTAGTGGTTGCCAGAGACTGGGGAGGGAGGAATAGCAAATGATTGCTAATGAGGATGGGTTTGGGGGGGGCAGAGGGAGTCGTGGTGATGAGAATATTCTGGAACTAGATAGTGACAATGGTGGTGCAACTTTGGGCAAAACACTGAATTGTACACTTTAAAAGGGGGAATTTACATTATGTGAATTGTATCTCAATTGAAAAAAAAAAACCTCAGGGTAAAAAAGAGGCTGGAGAATTTCATGTGTCCTAGAAAATATTTCTCTTTTCTGTGTCCCTCTGTGCGTACTAGACTTTATAACAGGCCAGCATGATTTATTATTAATACTTGAGTCATTTTGGAATTTAGTAGAATTAAGAAACTTAGATATAATGTGAATCTCCCAGCTTATTATTAGGCTGCTGGAGGAAATCAGTTGGTATTGAAGTTTTTCCTAAAATTCAGGAAAACCTCAATTAATGCTTTTTAACAGGATGTGGAGATTGTTTTAAAAGGTGAATGAGTTCCTGAGGTGTATAGGTTGTTCATGGCAGAACCGAAGAGTAAAGAAGTCCCTACAACTTGCTAATAATCAGGTAACTACTTTCCCTTTCATGCCCAACCTGACCCCTTTCTCAGGCTGGCCTGGGAGAGAGGTCTTCTGCAGGCCCCAGTGTCCTCAGCTATCTGGTCAGCCTTCTAACCCGTTTATTTGCACTTACCTAATCCTGATCAACGGGGAATGGGAGGTACTGTGTTTTTTTCAGTAATCCTTTATTTAGTTACTGCTACTGTGTGCCAGATGCTGTCCTACGCTTGAGTATACAAGAGGAAGTTAACAAAGCAGGTGTGCTAGGAGTGGCATGAAGAATTCACAGTCCAGAGATAGAGACAAAGAGTAACAAGTGCACACACAAATTATATGCAGGTATACAACTTGAAACAGGAAAATCATTGAATGCTGTCAAGAAAAGGGACAGGGTGCTTTGAGGGATGATAACTGTGTCAACATACTAAAGTTTATGGGTCAAAGGACACTTCCCTGTGGAAGTTAGATTTAATTCAAGACCCGAAGGAGAAGTTAGCTAGGCAAAGACAAGTATTGTGTATAGAACAGCATATGTAAAAAGGATGGGAAAGAGCTTGTCCTCAAGAAAACAAAAGGCAGATGAATCTCAGAGGGAAGGTGGGGGTGGGGGGATAAACTAAGAACTTCTATGCATGTGCATAACCCATGGACACAGACAATAGTGTGGTGCAGGCCCAGGGGGAGAGGAACAATGGGGAGAAAAGGGGGACATTGGTAATACTTTCAACAATAAAGATAAATTTAAACAAAAATAAATAAATAAATGAATGAATGAATGAATGAATGAATGGCAGCCAGCATGGGTAGAGCCTGTACACCAAGAAAGAGAACTTTGGGAGATGAAGTTGCAGGGGGAGGCAGAGTAAGCTTGGGTAAGGCCTTGGAGGCTAGGAGGCTGTGGTGGGTTAAATGGTGGCCCTCCAAGAGATATGCCCATGTCCTAATTCCCAGAACCTGTAAATGTGACAGTACTTGTAATAAAGGTCTTTGCAAATGTAATCAAGTTAAGGATCTTGAGAAGAAATAATCTAGAATGATCTGGGTGGGCCCTAAATCCAATGACTAGTGTTCTTATAAGACACACACAAAGAAGATAAGAGAAAGCCACATGAAGCCAGAGGCAGAGAATTGGAGCGACTGAGCCACAAGCCAAGGAGCTCTAGAAGGTACCAGAAGCTGGAAGGGGCAAGGAATGAAATCTCTACAGTCAGTCTTTAGAGGGAGTGTGGTAGTGCCAGCACCTTGATATAATACTTTCAGTCGCTACAGCTGAGAGAGAATAAATTTCTGTTGTTTTAAGTCTTTAAGATTTTGGTAATGTGTTATGGCAACCCCCCGAAACTAAGAGGCCATGTTTTAGGATTTTGATCTGAGAGCTGTGAAAGGTTGCTGAAGGGTTTTAAGGAAGGGAGTGATGTGATCCAATTTATACCTCAAAAAGATCACTGCGGCTACCATTGGGAGACTGAACTATTAGTAGAGAAATCAAGAGCTATTGTAGTAATATCAGCAGGTGATGATGGTGGTTCAAACTAGAGTGGCAGTCTTCAAAGTAAAGAGGTGGTCTGGGAGTTATAGCATACAGATGGCATTTGAAGTCATGGGACTAGATAAAATCACCTGGGAAGAACCTAGGACATTGAGGGCAAATGGCCCATGTCTGAGTCCGGAAGATCTCCAACCTGTAGATCAGGGGAGGAAATAACAAAAGAAACGAAGAAGGAAGAATCCGAAAGCTAGGAGGGGAAGCCAGTATGGGGGGTGTCAGGGACGCCAAGGTGTAGAGGAGGGTAGAATGTTGAAGGAGAGACGACCTCAGGTAGTCCTGAGAGAGAGAGTGGGGGAGGGGCTGTCACAGAATTGAGCCCTGGTGGGCATCGTGGAAGATCCCTGTGCAATTAGTGATGGTGAGTTTACAGTGTTCCCAGTCTGTCTGAGGTTGTGTCCAGCAGTTCTTTCTCACTGGCACAGAGTCTCAGAAAAGGCAGAGGGATTGGGATTTTTCCAGGCTAACCTGAAGGAAGGAGGGAGAGCCAAGGGATTGAATAGATGTGTAAGACGGGAATTATAAATAGGATAGTTAAATGAAGATGGTAAAACGGGGCCTAACGGAGATCATAGGACAATGGATTAGGCTTCGGGATGAGGCGGAAGCTCCTGAACACGTGAGCTCTAAGGAAAGCAAGTTGTCAGAGGACAGCAAGTCTCAGTTAGCGATGTGGGAAGTGTTCGGGTCCTGCTGGCGACAAGATCCAGGGCATGACCCGGAGGAACGGGTTGCTGAGGAAGCACGCAAGGAAAGTGTGTGGAGAGCCCCCAGTGTCCCCTTGGCTGAAACGCTCCTCAGCACCTCACTCCTGGCTTGGCTGGCTCCTCCTTGGCCTTCATGCCTCCACTGAAAAATTCTACGGGTCACTCCATTTGAAGTAAATGTTCTGTCCCACACAAAATTCTCCTCATGACTTCCTGCTTTACCTTCCATGTCTTCCGTGTTTGTTTCCCTCTTCTCCACCTGAATACAAGCTCCCCGAGAGATTTTTGGCCTATTCTGTTACCTAGCGTTTCCCCTGCCCTACTCACAATGCCTTGCATGCCGTAGGGGTGAGAGCCCTTGAATGAACTGGCAATGCCAAGACTTGCGATGGAGAGGGAGGCTGTCCTGGAGGGGTGAAGTGTGGGAGGGAAAGTGGTTGTTGCTTGAAAGGGTTTCAGCAAACTTGGTGTCCCCAAGCATGGCTAAGGGTTAAGTAGTTAAGGACAAGCAGGGACTTTCATAGGAAGATGTGGATATGAGGGTGATCATCTAATGGGAGCTGCTCTGGTCCAGTGGTCACTTTTGGGAAGGAGAGAAGGCATGGGTGTCAGGTTCAGCTTGGGATACCTAGAGCGTTATGGGAGTGAGAGCACCCGGTGATTGATGACCAGAGGAGCCCAAGGCTTACACTTCTGGTCTTGATCGGAGAAAACAGAACATGAAGCATGATGGATTTATTTATTTTTAACTTTTTTTTTCCCATTAGAGTTGACATACAATATTATATTAGTTTCAGGTGTACAACATAGTGATTGGACAGTTACATACCTTACAAAGTGATCTCATAAATCTAGTACCCATCTGGCACCATACATAGTATTACAATATTAATGACTGTATTCCCTATACAATATTTTACATGAGGAATCCTTCTTGATAGCCTTTCTTGGGTTTCACAGGACAGGTTGCGAGGTGATCAGAGGAGTGAGAGGAGAGGGATGGGAGAAAACAATAACCTGTGAAGTGTTGCCATCCCTTTTTTGGATGCAGAAACTGAGAGTTCAGTTAAGTTTCCTGAAGCTATCTAGCAAACGAGCTGCAGAGCCTGGCCACGCCTCACTTGGAGTCGGACTCTGGAGACACGCTCTTTTCCATTAGACCAGTCAGGCTCTTTCCCAGAGGGCAATGCTCAAGTTTATACAAACATTAGAAGAGCTTAGAAGTATTTTCACATAGTTTGCAGAATCCGAGCTGCACTTTAGAAGTTTCCATTTAAAATTATAAAATTTTAATATTGAAGTTCACGGTTTTTCCCCTTTTTTCCTTCAAGGTCACCCTGTTAACTCAATCCCTGTTTAACATGCTTAGGTTGTTTGTAGAATAAATGATTGTAAAGAACAAGTTAACGTCTTGTTTTTCTGACTGATTAGAA